TCAGTGGTAGGTCTCTCATGGCCAGTGCCTTTAAATTTGGGGTTTTTTTCAGTGAACTGCTTCTAATAGTAAAAATGGTTCAGTAACTCATTCTGAATAACTTGAGAGACTCAAGACAGTATACAATTCAAGATGCATGAAGTTAAATACTTATGATGCCTTCAAGTGCCTAATAAAAAGGAAGAGGTCATTAAATTCAAGTTTCCTCCTTTTCACCTCATTTTCATGGAGCACAGTGGACACAGTTACAGAGCTACACATGTAGTGGGGTATGCATGTTCTGCACGTCATTCCACGTGCGTTCATCAGCAGGATCACTGATCTCAGCAACAACAGTCCCTCTGCCAGCAGAAAGTGTCTAACTGGCTTATACCTCGTGTTGTAGCACAGCGCATTTCTTCTCTGATTTTTCACGACAGCAACTAAGAAACCACGAGGCTTTTAGATACTGCTTTCCAGGGCAGAAGTACTTAGTGGAGCAACTGCTTAGAGCTTTACTGTGAAACACTTAGCATAAAAATATAACCTCCTCTATGAAGTAATCTGCATTTAACAGCATGATCCATACAGTCCAAGACTGCAGATCTGAGTTACATTTGGACCTTTTTGTCTCGTTATTGCTCTGCCCTTGCACCTGTCCCTCACTAACATATACTTGATTGCACAGCTCTTAGAAAAGTCACTGCATAACACCACAGGTACTGTTTTCTGTTTGTCTGAGAGGCATTTCTCATTTGAATATTGCGCTCCTTTCTATCACATGCTGGGGTTTTTTTTTTTTTTTTCAAATGTTGCTACTAAAAGCAAAACAAAACAAAAAATCCCTCTTGTCAGGTAAGAGATATGCCTAACTAAATCTTTTCACTGACTCTCAGCTAGTCATTCCAATGCATCATATTCAAATTGCTTGTCATTTCTGAGGTTAAGGAAGAGATAATTTCTACTAAGAGACATTTGTCCCTATTCTTTTTTTTCCTGTACAATTTCAATAACCCTTATGATAACCTCCATAACCTCAAACTCTTGAATGCTTTTTTGCAGTTTGCTAATCTGCTGCTTTTCTTGAGGCACTCTTCCTTCAAAGCTATGAATCAAGTCATGACATAACCTGTCAGGCTTCTTTTTAAATGACCTAAATGCATTTTTACAAAACAAAATTGACTTGCTCAGACACCATAAAACATCCTGTAAAAGCTATCAGACTTCTGTTCAGGGGTAGTTGCTTTCCTTTTCTTCTGCTGTATATCATAGTGCCGTCCCTTAAAGTTAATTTCTGCCATTATCACCAGTGATAACAGCCTAGTTCACTGACTTAGCTGAAAGCAACAATTTTGAGGAGGAAAAGTATTACTTGCTACAGAATAAGGGTGGCAAAATTAGCACAGCAACACATAGCCCTGTCACAATAGCATTTTTTTTACTACTATATGTTGGATCTCCACAGCAATCCATGAGGGGAGTCTGAAACAGCATCACTGGAGGGCTGAAGTGCTATTCCTTTCTTGTAACAGAATGCTTTTGGTTTTCAAACAGGACTCGGAGGAACCAAGTACATCTCCTTTGAAGAACGGCAGTGGCATAATGATTGTTTTAACTGCAAGAAGTGTTCTCTCTCATTAGTGGGTCGTGGCTTCCTCACAGAAAGGGATGACATCCTTTGCCCTGAGTGTGGGAAGGATATTTAAAGCTCAAAATAAGAAGTGGGGAGAGGGGAGGAACTGCACTTGCAATATATAGTCTGAAATACATGGATGTTTGGAACTAGCTTTGCCACTCTGTGTTTCGCTGTACTATTAACATCACTTAACCTTTTGCTTCAGACTCTCCAAATCTGGAGGGGAAACAACTTCAAAATCTCTAGTAGCAGTATTGGTGTTTAAGATTTCTGCAGCTAACCAAAACTAACACAAAACCTGAGATGTAAAACCATTTGGGTGTTTTTGACATAACATAGTCTTTTTGGTTTTTTTTTTTTCCTTACAGTAAATATTGCAGTTAAAAGCAAGTGATATAGTTCAAGGATTACAATGGCCACGCACAATACATTCACAGATGGATATTCAAGGTGAAACCCTCAGCCCACTGAAATCAATGGCAAACACCATTCAAATTCAGTAAGGCTGTGGTCTTGCCTCAGTGTTCTTGAGCCATGTGACTAGTGTGTGCCGTCAAGTGTGTAGAAAGGCTGCGAATGTAGAGGGTGTTTCAATGTGCAAGGATTTGTGCTATGCCATAAACAGGTAATGATAAAACAGTTGAAGTGGGAGCGCTTCATAACAGGTACATATTTTATTGCATGACTAGCTGATCATTACGTGAAGTACAAGTTCTGATTGACAGTGTCAGTACTACAGTTAGTCGACATTACACTGCACATTGTATTTTTCAAAATAAAATCATTTAAAACAAAATTGTGATTGTGCTTTAATTGTATTTACATATTAGATATTTACAAATAAAATGCTTTCCCAGTCTGAAGAAACACAAATGTAAGAGCCATACAAACACAACCCTTTTTGCACCCAGTCATTATGAAATTGTGGAGTTTAGACCATCCTCATAAGGGCCCTGCAGATACAGCAGTCTTCTACTAACTGAAATCAGTGGGCAAATCATCAGTAAAACTGAACAACTGTATGAAAATACTGAATTGACTGCACCTGATAAAAATGTGTTCATAGGCTCTAAACTCAAAATCAAAGCGTTGTTCTCAGCAAGCAAGAAGGTCAAGGCAACTCAAAAGACATTTAATCTCGGAGAAAGTCAGAAGTTTAACTTCTGTACAAGGGCATGCTTTAATTTCGTTTTGCAATATGCGACACCCTTTGCTTGAGCATCATTTCTGCTACATGATTGCTGCAAAGGCAACTGCCAGCAACAGCATGTTGGCAGGACAATAAAATCAAGAGGAAATACTCCAAAGGAAGATAACTTTCTTCCCAAAGCAAACTTCAAGAAATACGGCCATGTTATGCAATGTACGATCTTGGTACATCTTCCAGATGGAATTAATTTGCATCTAGCAAAAGTAGGAAAGTAATGTATCACACTTCCAACAGGAACCTTCAGATGTGGAAAGAAGAATTAAGAATATACTTACTCTGTGTGTAACTGGTAGGGAAA